TGGTTCCTGCTACATGTTCTCCTCTACGCCACTCAATTGGCACTCAGCCAAAGCAGCATGCCAATGATTGGGATCCGATCTTGTGTCTATCAATTCACAAGCTGAATATCAAGCACTTGTCCCAAAGACAATTCGGATTACATACTGGATTGGTTTGTACAGGGATCCTACGAATAAGTCCCACTGGCTGTGGGTAGATGGATCCCGTGCAAACTTCACAGCTTGGAGAGCTGGCGAACCTAATAACTGGTTGGGAACGGCAGAGGATTGTGCAGAAATGTATGTAACATGGAACGACCTGGCATGCACATATACGGCTCCTTACATCTGCGAAACTAAACCAAGTAAGTGAAGATTCTTTAATACATCTTATATCGTATTTGCGAGAAAAATATGGTCAAACTGTTGCTAGAGGGTTAACAGGCTCGCGAACATCAGAGTCTATATTGCTAGGTATCGTTGTCAGTTGTATTTCAACCATCGTACTTCTAGGCCTCATAAAACAGAAAAAATTTTCATGAGCCCTCCTGAAACATAGGAGTAACGTTTCCATATGCTGACTGTGAAGTTCGCGAATAGTTCATTAGACTTTTCAACCTGAAGATCATCTTCCATACTGAAGAGCATCTAAACTTGTCATTTTTCAAAGCAGTTTCGATAATGATTATAGAAACCGCAGAAAGCAAACTTTGGTATTAATTTGTTCTTTGAACCCTCTTCTACAAAATTCATATGGTAGAAAATAGCTAGAGAAACTTAGGTGTAAGTAAGCGATTTATAGCCATTTTCTCCATTTTTTTTTGCTCTCTTTTCTTGGAGGACCGTTAAAATTTACCGCAGATGGACCTAAAAAGTACCCGAATGTGTCGCGGCATTCTGAGCGATGTCCTTACATCTGCGAAACTAGCCCAAGTAGGTGAAGGTTATTTAATACATCTTATATCGTATTTGCGAGAAAAATATGGTCAAACTGTTGTTACAAGGGTTAACAGGCTCGCGAACATCAGAGTCCGTATTTCTAGGTATCGTTGTTATTTGTATTTCAATCAGCATTGCAAAGAAAACAATGTGCTTCCATCGAGTTTAAGATTTCGGCCTCTTGTGCGGAGTGCTAAGGGATACAAATTCACGGTCCGCACTGGTTTTTCTTTTCTAAGTTGCGAATAGATAAATGCCACAGTTCTATGGTTGCGTGCGTTTTCTCTCGTTCACACACTGAACTCTCTGCTTTGATAAACAAGTCCGAAACCTCCTGGGTCGAGGAGTTCAGACGTTTATCAAACAGAGTGAGAAATACGACAGAAAACTCTTCCATTTACTCAGTAAGAGGTCCACTGGTGATTCAGGCTCATTTCTGAAAGATAAATGGGTCTTAAACCTTTCTTTAAAGAAGCTATCCGCGCTGGAACGGAGTGGTCTAGAGAAGGTCTAAAGTTTGCTATTGCTCTTAGCAAAATACCGACTGCTGAAATCGTCGCCGTTGTAGAAGAGAGCATTTCTCAACTCAACAACGACCATAAGCTCGCGGTAAGAGCAGAAGGAAGCAGCATACTCAGGCAAACTAAACCTCCTCCCAAAAACATTCAAAATAATGTTTTCAATGCGCTTATAGCTCTTTAAAAGGATCCAGATAGGCTTCTATTGTCTATCTTGCAAAAGCTTTGTCACTGCTCAATGACAAAAGTACGTATACAGTCTTAAAGATCTGATCCTACTAGGAAAACTCAAAGAAAGTTAAACAAAATGTTGCTTAATTTGAAAAATACTGGTAAGATTAGTGACTATACGTACAATGTGTTATACGGTAGTGACGGCTTATGTCCATGTTTTCATGGCTTACTTAAAATTCATAATCCGGGAATTCCATAGAGACTTAAGGTCTCTTGTTACTTCTCCGAAGCCGATGCAATTTCTAGTTATCTTGCGTGAATTTTGTAGCCTGTTGTTGGGGAATACTGATCACACTGTCAAAAATTCCAGCGAATTGGTGGATTTCATAAGAAATAAAACTCTTAATTCTAGTGAATAGTTGGTATCTTTCGACGTTGTTTCGCTCTTCACTAAAATCCAGAGGAGAGACTCAGAGGAGACGCTTCCCCGAGACAAAGAACTTCTTTACATGTGGAGGATATAATTCATCTGCTGTCTTTTTGCCTCAAAACCTCGCAATTTGCATGCAACGGCACCTTCTATCAACAGGTCTTTGGTGCAGCTATGGGTTCGCCCGTCTCTGCTGTCATTGCCTATATGATCATGGAAGACGTGGAACAAAGGGTTTTAGCCGCTTCATCGGTTAAACCCTTGCTCTGAAAACGGTATGCCGATGATGTCATCTCAGCGGTAACCGGAAATGACGCCTCCTATCGCATTTGAATTCAGTGGAGCCGTCCATCCAATTCACCCTTGAACCCTAAAAGGATAGACACTTGCCCTTTCTTGATTCAAACGTGTGCAGAGCGGAACAGGGGAAATTTGAGACAGGTGTTTATCGTAAACCGACCACACCGACAAATACCTCGCTTTCGACTCTCACCATCTTATTGGCCATAAAAAGTCCGTAGCTAAAACTTTACACAGGAGAGCTGACTGTTAACATCTTCGTTTGATTTGAAGGCTGAGGAGAGAAGAAAATGATTCGGATGTCCTAAGGGTAAACGGCTGTAACAAAACATTTCTCCGCCTGCCAGAAACCAGTTACAATTAGTAGCACTCCTGATGAAAAGGAACTAGCCACTGGTGCTGTTACATTTCCCGGGGGAGCATGCCCCCGGACCCCCCTTGGAGCTCGTGCCTTCGGCGCTCGTTTTGCAGTAAATCGGTGAAAACTTTTCCTAGATCCGCGCCTGTGTTACGGAACCCATCAAGGGAATTTTGAATAGCCACAACGTTAAAGTTCATGCTCAAAAACCTTTTCAGACTTTGGGACATATTTTTGCCAAACCTAAGTTTCCTGAGACCCTTTCACAAAAGAACAACGAGCCGACGCCATTTATTCTATTCCATGCAGTGACTGTGATCACGAGTATATCGGACAGACCAAACGTCAGTTTGGTACACGTTTGAAAGAGCATCAAAAAGCGGTCTTCTTTCGCTAAAAAGAAAATTCAGCTTTGTGGGAGCACACATGCCTAACTAACCAGACAAGTGGGTAGGATAATTCTAAAATTATCACCACTAATCGACGTTACCACCAGTGCCTTTATTTGGAAGCCTGCCATGTTAACTGCGCCCACGTTCCTAAGTCGTGACGATGACGGCTTACTACTCGACGCCTTTAGATTTACACCTCGTCAGAAAAATGGGTAGCCAATTAGTGAGCATATAAAAGGTCTTTTGTTGTAGTGATTAGATCACCCCTGACAGTAGCGGATCCAGGAGGGACCGGGGTTTCCGGACGCCCCCCTATCACACCCGACGTTTACAACTTTGAGAATGAAATTCTTACATCGACAGGATCGTATATCACTTTTTAACTGGCTGATTTTTTTAATTAATGAATCCAAGTAAACGATAAGCGGCCAAGAAATTATAACGTGCAACCGCAACCGGTGGGAGGGGGTGTGGGAGAGAAGTAATTTGCCTAAAAAGAGTCCAACAGTCCTATCTGAACCAAAGTTTGGACCCTCCCAATCAAAATTTCCTAGATCCGCCCCTGCCCGATGAAGGTACTGGACAGGACTGTGGAAACGTTGGGTCTATGAATTGTAACTTCTCGCTTGCATTCATTAAATCTTTAACCAGAGTAGCATCAAACCATTTTAGGTAAAGATTCTGTTTTTTTCATTCACGGCTTCTGTTTTATTGTCGTCATCATCATTTCTTTTATTGTTTGTGAGGCAGTGTGGCCGAGTGGTTAGAGTGTCGGACTCGTAATCCGCCGCTCCCGGGTTCGAGTCCCACCCTGACCACTAGATTTTTTTCACGGTAGCCCCGAGTTTACATCCTTGGCCACGCTTTTAAATAGCCAACTAGTTTGCCTCCGGCCGGTTGGGGTTCTTAATGATGTTCTTAATGATGTTATGTTCAATTTAGACCATTTGTTTCATTTGTTTGCAAGGACCACAATGGAAACTACTGGTTCACCAGTATAATCCTATAAAAAGTATAAATTGTATAAGTATAATATAATTGTATAATCCTATAAAAAGACTTTTTTTTTTGTTTTTTTTTGTTATTACTATCATTATTACTACTACTTTTACTATTGCCATCATCAACGTCATCATCATTATTATCATTATTATTATTATTATTATTATTATTATTATCATTGTCATTGTCAAAATCATCATTATTATCATTCAAAGAAAGAGCCAAGAAAGTTTTGGTTTCATGGTAAACTTTTAAGGTGCTTAAAAGAAAACTTATCAAATCTAAATGGCACGTAAAAATTGAAATAAAAAGGCAGGCTCTTGGGCTGGGATCGAAAATGAATGAGACATGCTCCTTTCAATATACATATTTATTTTTCTTCATTTTGCCAACACATGTTTCGTTAGTTAGTTACCTTAAGCAGGGTGTCTCGTTTACGGAGATGAACCATCACTCTTATTATTTACAACCCTTGTCCTTTTTTTTTTTTTATCGAAAAGACACATAAAAAATTCCATTGATTAATTGATTATAGAATTTCAGTTTGCGGCTGGCAGTACAAACCATTGTTTATTTTCTTTTCTCTACGTCAAGGCGTTAACTAAATTCCCTTAATATGAGCTCTTAGATCAGTTCTCAGTAGATGCTCTAACGGTGAGGAGTAAACCTAACGGAGTTCATAGTTTCCTAGAGCTGGGAGTTCTTTATCCCTCGGAGGCAAAATCCAATTAATGTAAGTCATGCTTGTTATGTTCTATTTTTTGATCGCGCTCTTGTTCAATCTGTAGCTCTTTTGGTTTCCCTTGTTTCAAGATATTGTGTATTTCTTTAGTCTTCATCGCATGTGCTGTATGAGGTGACCTCGAATAATCGAATTTAAAAGCTTGCTGCCTACCCTAATACATCACGGGGGTTGACCCGGCGAACTCAGGTGCACCGCAACACGTGTCTGCGGCACCGGGAACGCGACACAAGGTAAACAATCCTAACGTACATTCCTTGCAGCTTTCGAAAAACAAATTAAAAAGAACTTAGTTTAATTAATTAGAGTTTATAAGATACGTTGAGGCTGTTTAATATTTCTCGATAAATAAATCTTAACCTTTCTAAAACACGCTCCCTACACGACTAACAACGTCTTGAAACCCGGTAGATTATAGTGATGCAAGGCGTTGGAAAATGCCAGCAAAGTTCAGGTTATAAAAATAATCAAGAACAATTCCATCATCTTTTCTCGCAGTAAAGGCATTGCATCCTTCATCGCCTGGTTTAGCGACATGTCCGCAAAAAGGCTGGGTCTGTCTTCAAGTTTCCTGCTACATGTTCTCCTCCGTATCACTTAATTGGTATTCGGCCAAAGCTGCCTGTCAAAGATTAGGACCCAATCTGGTGTCCATCAATTCACAAGCTGAATATCAAGCACTTGTCCAAAAGACAATTCGGATTACATACTGGATTGGTTTGTACAGGGACCCTACGGAAAAGTCCAGGTGGCTGTGGGTGGACTGAACTGATGCAGGCCTTCACAGCTTGGAGAGCTGGCGAACCTAATAGGGACCTTAAGCAACCACGACGGCGACGGCAACGAGGACGTGGAAAAACAAGAGATCTAATTGGCAGAACAATAACTCAGCACGTGCATTTTGAAACTTTGTACATTTCTTAGCCGTCCTATGCAAAACAACAACTTGAAATCGTCAAAATTAGCGTCGTCTGCGAACCGAAACCGCGACGGCAAATTATTTTAATTTCCATTTGGACTCAACGCCACTTTTATACGTCATGCTGAAGTTGAGCTGTGGCGTCGTATGAGACAGTAAGCTCATGCAGCCATTTTTAAAATTCTAACTAAGAGAAGAAATTCATTTTTTAATCGAAGTCTTCCTTGGCGTCGCTGTCGTGGTTTCTTAAAGTCCCTAAAAACCGGTTGGGAACGGCAGAAGGTTGTGCAAAACTTGATGTAACGTGGAACGACCTGGTATGCACATACACGGCTCCTTACACCGGCGAAACTAAACCAAGTATGTGACTTCCTTTATTTTCTATGTCCTTTGAAAGAAAACCTGCTTGGTTTGAATTTAAAGCAGATCGAAGTTTAAGTAGCTTACTCCACAAAAAAGCAAACATGTATGATTTTATTTTATCTTTTCCTCAACTGGAATTCATGGTACATAAAGAATAAAAAAATGAGGGCTTAGTACTCAGTACAACTGAAATGAGATGTCAGTAAACGTCTTTGACACATAACACAACTTTATTGATGCTATTTAAACTTATGCAAAAGTTAAACTTTGATTTTTGAATTAAAATATACTTTGCTCACGTTAAACCATATCGCCATGTCAATCCTAACGCTCGAGCTCATCAACGGGTAACATTCTTTTAGCGCTTTTGTTGCTTTTATGGTTGGCTTTCATTTGAAGTACATGACAAGTTGAATTATACACGCATCAGTTTTGATTAGTTGTTACTTATGTTTTATTGAAGGACAGATACATAGTTGAAGTCACAATTAAAATATCATGCTTTCATATCCACAAAAGAAGAAAGATTCCCTGTGGCGGTGGGTCTGTCCAGTAACAGATCACAGAAGAAGTCCAATTGTGGTAAGAACATTAGTATGTAACCACGCCCTGCTGCGCCTATCCCCACCACATTTTGACATCATATGTGATCTAGTGGCTCTACAGACCCACCGCTACACGAAATCTATTTGTTAAACTGATGATGATTCTTAAAGTGGTATCATTCTGTTGCAGAGTATACCTGAACCTTATGGCACGCGGAATACAGTTCTTTGTTGAACTAGCATTGAAGAAAGATATTTAGAACAATAGTGAATTCTTTGACGTGTCGCGACTTTCATTTGGTCGTGAACTTGAACTTATTGGATTTCTAATTAGAAAGACTACTAGTACAGTAAACCCACTCATTAAACCTTCTTATTGCAATGTTAGACTACTTAGAATTTACATCTGTGGTTCTTATATTTAACGCACGCTGCACAAAGATTTCTATTATATAATGAAAATGAATTCCGAGCAAATGCTTTAGTTTCTGTGCTACTGTGACTACAGCAACTTGTAGGAATAGACAATTGACAAGCCTAAGGGTGACACATCATCAAACTCCCCTGGCTAATTTTTAAGGGAATGTACTACGGCCGGAAAAGAGAATAAGGGAAAAGATCTTTGGACATAACGGATAAACTGCTGATC